CCTGCTGAGCTTCAGAGACTTATAAAAGGCATTCTGCATCCAGTAAGGATGACATAATCTAGTCTAGGCCTTTGTAATTAGTTCTTCAAGTCCTAACCTTCATCAACTACTTTTTCACTATATACATCAGGTATTAACATTTAAATAAAAATCAATATATTCACCATGTAATTTTGTATTAGCAGCATCCAAATCCATGGATTTAAACAAGATGAAACAGATTCTATTATCAGCTTAAAAGATAACTTGTATTTTATCTATTATATGTATTTTTCTATTATATTGATGAGTTCAATATGGAAATTTAGAGGCAATCATAAGTACAATGTAATTATTCTGTAAAGAACTGTATGAGAAGTATGTTTTATAATTAAAATCTACTAGAAATGTATTATCTCTACCTGCCCATTTTAAAAGAGAAAATATAGAATTAACAGGAAATAAAGATTATTACTTATTTATATTCAGCCTGACTCCTACACTGGTAATCAGACTGACTGTTAAATAGCTCCACAAATATTTTTCTTGCACTCAGTGGAAGTACTTATGTAGGCAAATAGTGTAGGGCCCTGCCAAAAGTGGGAAAATCTGGGCTTCTCTGATTCAAAGGTTTATTATTAACAAAAGCTTCAGTTGCTCAAACCCCACAAAATGGTTTCAACTGAACAGTCACACCACTAGACAGAGAAAGGCACACATGTGATAAAGGAGGAGAATGAACAAGCTTAATGACGTGCTGATACACAGATGATAAGGAAAAGAAAAACCTACTTAGAAAAAAACAACAGTTGAGATTTAGTCCAAGTCAGAAGCAGCATCTGGCCTCTTTTCTCTCCCAACGTCAAGAAGACGTTTGCAACAATGCTGAAGATATTTCCAATTCTAGTCATCCTTACAGGTAAGAATAATTTAACTATTTGAAATAGCACTGGAATAAAGGAACTTGTTGAATAAGAGAGCAAGTGAGCCTGACTGGGAAACTAGGTGAACATTCAAGATTTATTTCAGGATGGAATGAAAATCATGGCTGTAATGCATTTATTATGCTAGCTGAACACTGACAGGTAAGAATTTTTTGCTCAATAACAGAATTTTAGCTTTGGTAAATGAATGGTTTGCTCTAAAGCCAGGAAGAGGCAAAGAGATCTCCTGTAGAGCATTAGGGTCTTTCAAGTGCTTCAGGGTTAGGTTTCCTCATATTCAGTTTTTGTCTCCTTTTAATAATAGCCCTGAAAAATGCTGCCTCAGCCCTACCCCCACCCAAAAATTTTTTGGGATGCTTAACTTTAAGCATGCAAATAATCCTTTTGATTTCCCTGAAGTTAAGTGAGGACATAATACTTTGTGGAATCTAGGAATTATATGGCATATTCAAGATTATATATTACTAACGTTTGAAGGACATTTCATTGTGCTATGCTTTATTTTAATATATACATAAGCAGACATTTTAATTCTAATGGTCCATGGAGATGAACAGCCTCCTTATCCACTAAAGAAAATGGATGTTTCCACATTTTCTTTTCTGGTTTGAATGACAGAGAAATATTTTAAGTAGTCGCTCCTGGTATTTCAATGTTATCTCTCTCACACACACATAAACTCCACAGATTTTTGCCTTAGAAATGAGAAGTAATTAAGTGTTAGTACCAATACTTCGCAGAACAATGTCCTCTTCATTTCAAAGTTCTCAATTTAAGACTAGGAGTGTGTCCATACTGACAGGGTGCCACTGACAGGGGTTTTCCGCAGTGGTAAGATCAGAAAACTTGGATTTCCTTCATGAGTGTTAAACCTGCATGGGACATCAGTGGAACTGGGCAATTCCCAATTCACTGCAGTGACTTTCCCTTAGCAAGCAAGTGGTCTTATAGTAATATTGATGAGTGAGAGATGTGCATCGATTATTTTTAACAAGTTACAGTCCTGTTCAAGCTAGCATTTTTTGCTGAGTTACTTCTTAATCATGTACTTCTTTTCATTTAAACAAAGGGCCTGTGTTTGAAATGGGATTAAGAATTCGAAACCATAAACAGTGAACTAAGTGCAAAGCAAAACTCCCATTAACTTCCGTGATCAGGCAACAGGTTCTGCAGGTCCAGTTTGTTCCATTTACAGTCAAAAGCTCAATTTTACTATTAGTGATGGCTTTAAACAGCCACCCCTGGACAATATAAGTTTGATAGGTTCTGACTTTATATTTTCACCAGAACAATGCCTATTTCAACTAAATGTATTTCTTCAAAATATACAGTGTCATGGAAATGAGAATGCTTTACGGAAATGAGAATGCTTTATGGAATTTCTTCTGGAAAAACTTAAAACAGCCAGGCTCTGTGATACTCCTGACTCCAAAATCAAAGAATGATAGAGGAAATACATGGAGCAGATAACTGGAAAAGGGATGTTTTCAGGAGAATGACATTGTGTATAAAGACTGTAGCTTTAATCCTGCAAAGAGCAGAAGATACATACAGGTAAACCTGGAAGTATTATTATGGCAAGAAACTATCATCCTCTGGCCAACTGTAATTCTTAAAGCTGAGAACAGTGAACTAAGACATCTAAAATAATAACACATGGGTTTTATATTAGTTCTCAGTAAGGATTAAGTTTCTGTGGACTCACAGGACAAGCAGGACTAGCAGCCAGCACTGGAATCTCCTCTTTCCCCAGGGCAGGTCTGACACATTTAGGTCAGTCTCCAGCCACTCCTGTGAGAATGTCTTCACATATAATGTAAATTTTTCTGCATTTCAAACTCGCTAGTTCTCATCCTAGCCACCACCAACACTTAAAGTAGATTCTTCCCTTATTGTTTGCAGTGAGCTTTTACTATTAAAGCCATCAAACAAGGAAAACAGACGCTGAAGAGTTCAGACTCCAGGTTCTGATAGGTTTGCAATATTGTAGAAACTGATGAATCTGCAATGGTTAGAATGAATTTGCATGATTAAAAATGTCAAAATAAGTATATATCTTTTTTTTTAAACAATGTTTCCTCTCATAGGGCTGATAATTTGAGCAAAATACTCTTTTGGTATTTTGGTATCACTGGAGGTTTTGCTTGAACTGTCAAAAGCAGCACCCTAACATAAGATGCACAGATATTCCATTGAGAAGAATATTTTGTATGTTTTGCCTCTTTCATTAATACATCCAATAAGCCCACATGAAAATTATTATTATAACATGAAGTTCTTACCTTGCCTGTTTTGCATAGAAAGCTTGGGAAGACTTCTGTTTTCTATCACATTCAAAATAAATAAATTCTCCATCCAAATATTCAGAGAGCAGCTTTAAAACTGGACTCAGTGATCTAGCAAACCCCCAAAATTCAGACTTATTTTTTCTAACAGCTCTAGCTTTGCTGCTGTATGTCACCATTGCTAGTAACGTATATGGAAGAAAGAAACAGAAAAATACTGTATGATGGTGCTTGAATCCTTTCATTAACATGAAGCGAAGACTGACCAGAGCACTATGGGCAAGGCTCACAAGTTACATTTGCTTCCTTTCTGCTTTTCAACAGCAAGAGTTGGTCATGTTATCACAGAATTTATCACAACCCACAGAATAACAGCAGTTCCAAAAAGCTTAGTTTGACTCTCTAATGTAAAAGCATTGGAGAAGAACAGCTTCTTCATGTAAGCCCTAAGAAACCTAAACAAAAGCAAGGTAACTACCAAAAGAAAAGTGGAGAAAGGCTGCTGGGCTTCAAGCTGAGGGAACCTGACAGTGCCACTGAGTCCAAGTCATATGGTAAGAATGAAAGAGACAACACTGTGGGAGATGGTGTTCCATGGTAAAGGATAAGGCATCTAAAGGAGAAGCTGCAAAAAAAAGAGGGCATGGGTATTCTGGGGGATTTATTTGCTTGTTAGCTTTTGCCCACTCCCAGCTTGTCATCACTAAAATATCTACACAAAGCCTAAGGCAAACTGTACTGACTAGCCATATCCTGCAGTTTTCTTTGATAAGGAAGGGAGCAAGGCACTCCTGCATGGCTCCCAGGGTCGGCCCTGCTGATCTCTCCTCACCACACTTACTGTCCACAGGCCCTGCCAGCAGTCTTGTGGTGACCGTCCCTGAGAAGATAGTGAATGTCACTACAGGTGGAAATGCAACCCTCCTCTGTACATACACGAGTTCTGAACCTCTGGGAGATTTCTTTATCCAATGGAGCTTTTACAGTGCCAAAGAGAGCCAACTTCATACCGTAAGATATTTCTTTATTATTAATTTGAAGGTATAATCAAGATATCCTTAGGTCCTCAAAGAATCTTGTTATGCTCAATACTTTTATCCTCACTACAAAACAGGGAGGCAGGTAATGTTGGTGTTCCCACCCTAAAGACAAGGGGCTGGGTTGCAATTAAATTTAGGAGCAGATCCACAAAGTTATCTAGGCTCCCAGTTCCTCCTGGCATGCCTGAACTACTTTAGAAACTTATAAGAAGGTAGAAAAGGGATTCAGATGCTCCAACATGCTTCAAGTCACACAGGAAGAATGAAGCAGAAGAAAGACCAGGTGTCAAAAAATCACTCCAGTGCTTCAGCCCCTGGGCCAGCTCCCTTTCTTTTGTCTGGCAGATTATTTCCTGCCACTGTGAAGGCACCTTTCCTTGCCTATGACAAGATGCCCCCATGTAAGGGTCAAACAAGAGCACCTTGACTCACCTGCTATCATTGCTATGGGGCAGCCCAGTGAGAGGAGCAGCTTGTGACAACAGGTCGTCGGCACAAAGTAAACAACAAATATTTTGGCAGGACTTTCTAGAAAGTTGTCACAGCAGGAAATCTGCCACAGCAAACATGCATTGGTATTTCACACATCTCATGGGCGTCACTGTAGTAAGAGAGCAATTATATACCAATGGCAAATGCTCCATGCCCTTCCTGAGACCCCAAGAGGCAGCATAGCCACATAGTATCTTCCCCCAGAGTATAAAGGGACCACGTGGTAGGTTGGAGTATCAGCATGGAAGCAGCACTGGGACAGTAAAGGACACCAAGTACTAGAAAGCAAAACCTAGTAGCAACTTACTAGACATTAACCACTGCCCAAGCCTCTCCTGTGACTGTAAAGGCCTTGCAGAGCAGCCTGGTCTGCCTTGAACGAGTCAGAGATAACATCCTATACATCCTCACACCACTGCCCAGGCTTTAACAGCTATCTACTAATCTTATTTTTTTGATGGAGAAATGAATCCATGAATCTCACTTCTGGCATAACATGCAGGATATGAGTTCCCATCAGCTCAGTCCTGACATGTGCTGAGCAATGAGCAACACCTTCCTTTGTAAGAAGAAATGGTGATTAGAAGTCTTACTGCATCCTTGAAGATGGCTGTGATTTTTTTTCCATGCCCTGGTGCTGGGCTTTTGCTTGTTGACAATCAATCCCTTTTCTCTCCCATCATTTTTACCCTGTTGCTAATATATTTTTTCTAAAAGTTTAATCCTCATGCCCGGTGTTACACCTGAAAGCTGGTGTAAAGGGATTTGCCTTAGAAGAGTGTCACAGTTCACACTGACGATATTCTTGTCATGTTCACCCATTTCCTAATAGCATTATGTTAGGAGATTTACCACTGCTGATGTAGTTATACCTTCTACTTGGTTTGCCAATCATAGCAGATTTAGATAGTCAGTAATTTGCAGAATGTACAATACGTAACATATTTGGCACTGAAGAGCAATAGCCAGTATGTAAGTATTGTATTAGCTGTATCAGTGCTAAGTACAAATGCTGGGCCCACTCCCAGTTCTGACTGTAGCTGAATGCCACATCAACACCTTGCCTAATTGTTCAATTATTGTTACTTATCTTTTGCATTTTTCAAGTCAAAACTATCCTATTAAATGAGCATCATGGAAGGGTGGAAGCTGCAGGTTTCCTAAGTAAATTGTATATTGTACAATATATTGTAATTTTTATCCAATATGTTACATCATCAATTTTAATCACTTGTTCAGGTGGGAAGTCCAGCAGGGTGATAGGATCAAGCCCATCATCTCGAGATTTGGTCAGTCTCTTTCTGTTTCACCTGTGTCAAACTTTCCATATTGCAAGACAATAAATGCAATACATGTTCTGGTCACAACCAAGAGAAATAAGCAATTGTATTTGCAAGTATTTTAGAGGGAGAATCAGACAGTTTCAAGAGATCCAGGAGGGGAAAACCATTTGTCAACTATAACCAATGATGGGAAAATATCCCTAGGATTATAATAATAAAATACTGTGGGTGGTTCAAAATGTGCTCAACAAGAACTAACTGATGTGAGACACCCAAATGTCAGGAAAACCCTATGGATCAATCCGTTCAGCACTCACTCCTGGCTACTGCAGCTCTCACTGCAGGCAATGGGAAAGCCATGCCTGTAAGGACAGTAAGGAACACTACTGGGAAAAACTGCGTTTGGTTTTCACCCTGTCTGAAACTAATTTCATGGCAAATTCACTTTCACACCACAAACACAGATGCATTTGTAACCAATTATTTGCATTTCCATTAAATAAAGTTGGTTCTATCTGGAAAGGCCACAGGTTAGTGACTAATCCCGTTCTCTTGGAACACACAGGTAAAATTTCCTTTAGCTGCAGCCCCAGTTTTCCTGGGCTCACACATTCAGTGAGGCTCGAGGGCATCCCTTGCTCCTCTGAGCCTGCTGATGTGCCTGGAGGGTGCATGTGTGGGAAGAGCTGCAGGACCAGGGCAATACTCTCTTTAAAATGCTTTTAGCAACCCGTTCAGTCCTGTACTACTTGACCCTGCATCCTTCTACAACATGGCAATTCCTTACCATTTTGAACCTATGCCCTATGAAATTAATTGTGTTTATGCAAACACTGGGAAGAAAGGACTGTGACTGCTTGTGGAAAATTAGGTTTAAGAAATTACACAAAACATGAAATTGTATTTTCAACCTCCCTCTGAGCCCACAGCAATACGAGGTTGCTATTTCTATTTCAGGCAGGTGACTTTTCTTAGTTTCAGAAAGGACTGAGTACCTGAAGGTGTGCAAGTTTTTCTCCTACAAGCTTAAACAAAAAATAATCTCTTTCTACACACCTGGCTTTGCCCTGGTTGCTTGGCACGTAGCTGAAGTCTCACATTATGAAATAAATGCATGGTAGTGGAGGAGACTGCCAGCTTTGGCTTTCATTGTTTAGATTAAAGAATACTGAAGTGCAAGTTAAAATATATATTTAATGTGCTGGTAAGATGACAAAACAAACTGAATCGAAAAGACTGGCACCATTCCTTACTGAATACCAGAACAGTAGCTTGCATTTTAAGTGGGATAAAATTATTTCATTTTATGAGATAGTTAGATTCTGCTTAAGTGTCAGCAATACACAAACACTTATAAATACCATATATTTTCCCTGAAAAGATTTGTTGAAAATTCTATCTCCACTCAAAATTTGCCATTTTTCAGCAATTAAATGGATAACATCTTCCAATTCTGTTTTTTAAAGTTGAAAATTTCTGCCAAATATTTTAAAGACAAGAGACCTACAATTGGAAAAAAAAAAAAGTTGCAGAAAATAAATCTTCTTATCCCACATTAGTTTCATTTACATAATTGATAATATGGCCTTTTCTATCTACAGTGGCAGCAAATAATAGAGCAAACTATAGAATGTTACAATTAGTTCAGGCAAATTTATGTCATTAAGATGCCTTTGGCTAGAACCATTAATGAATGTGTACTTTAAATAACTAGATTTTAGGACATAATATACGGTAAGAACTGAGCTCATAATTACCCTTTTAAAAAAGAATGTTAGTATTTTATACTGCCACTTATGTTACAGATTTTGCAGTGTTTTGAGATACATAGGCTCAGATAGAGTCCTGTCTGGAGCGAAATCAATCAGATTTGGATCAGGATTAGTGCCAGTGTTAATTTAATTCCCCAGAACATTCAGCAACAGACTTTACCTTGCTTCAAGGTGAGGCAGTGCTGCTCGATAGTTTGCAGATCTGTCTCCCAGCACTGGTTTTGTGAAGCTGGCTGGTGTATTTTGCTGTTTGTTCTGGTGTTTTCAGATCCTGTTCCACATTGCCCACCTTACACAATGTTGGTGCAGGTGCTCAACAGTTAAAAGTCATGGCAGTTACACCAGAAAGGATGAAATACTGTAACCAGGCTGTTCACAGACAGTGTGATGAAAAGGAATGGCAGGTGTTCATGGTGCTGTTTTGAAGACAGTGCAGCTCTATATAGTGAGTGAAAATAGATCTTCTACTAATTGAGGGCTAACTCTGCTCTTTTCTTGAGAAGCTTCTCCAGTGGAAGTAATTCCCCTCATTTGAACTACATAATGTAAATACCAACTCATGGAAAGCAGGATGCTTTTTAACTTTTTCTTCTTGCCATTTACCCCTTAGCAACATGTCTTTTTAATGATAAAATTAGTTTTTAAAGAGTAACTCCCAGTCAAGGCTCTTGAGAACTTCCCCATACTGAGCTATCTCTGTTCTACCTATAGATGAACTGAGGCAGACAGTACTTATTCAGCTCACCCAGGGTAACAGCTTACTCCACAGCCTGGTTCATAAGGTGAAGCCTTGACTCCTGTTACAATCAACATTTGTGCTTCATTTCATGCTCTGAGTCACTCAGCTGGCCTCAGTGTAAGCACCTAAGTAAATGTTTGAATGATTGAAGCCTGCTGTTGACTCTGCACAGGCGAGGCTACAGCCTTACAAAGCTCAGTACAACTTCTGAACTTAACCAGGGCCACACCTGGAGCCTCCAGCCCAGGCCACCCACAGGTAAAGTAAGTTAAATTATCAGAGACACTGTGTGGCTATCCAAGATAGGGCCAGGGCAGAATCCTTGATTGAAATTTTAAATTCACTAAGTGAGTAAAGGTAATGAATGGCTGTTAACTGTAAGATAAACTGAATTATTGATAGACTTCTCATGAAAATATTATCTTAAAAAAAGCAAGCTTAAAATATTTGCAGTGACAGTGACACTGCTTTGGTTAAACTACTGACAGACAGTTGAGAGGGAA